TGATAAGGGATTTTTACACAGAAGACAAGTCTATAATATGATGTTGAGAATGTAATTTAATCACTTTGAATAGCAATATTGCAATTCATATCATGTTGTTTCAGCAAACCAGCAACATTCTTCCCTATTGCTCTGTGCTTCTGTTAAACTCTCAGGGAAGCCTGGGTAATCTTCTCCACTGCTCCACATCCCGCCATAGTGTCGCTCCAGCATACTCGATACTTTTAAAGTCGCAAAAGTTTTCAGTTATTAAATGTTTCTGTATTTAACTGGTATGAGCGATGATGAAAGAGCTTTTGAACATACAAAATTAATGCTAAATTGGGGAGCAAAATATACTTAGACCGCCGTTATGGTAATATAAACATTATGTCTGCCCAACTAAAGTTTGTGTGTGGAGAGACACTGTCTTTGTACTGGGTTACCAGGCACAAATCTGTTATTAAGTATTTGCACCAAAAAAACAATCAGCAAATGACTCAGCCAATCGCAGAAATTATATGAAACTGGGTTTAGCCTTTGTTGCATTACATAGATTTGAAGGTTGGAGGTTGGAGAGAGAGAGGATGACACCATGCTGAATAAAGAGAACTGGAAACAGCATCCAATCCAATCCTGCTCTCGGCTCAGTCGAATGAATGGAGCGAAAATAACTCGATTGAGCTTTTAGGGTATTATACAACCTTAACCACCTAATGATTTAAATCAGGAACATCAAAATGTCGATATATCTCAATAAAATGTATACGCCAATTTACAAATTTACAGATAATGTAATGTAAAAAGTATTTTTGAGCCAAATAATCCTGATGATCACAGTTTGTCCACTGCGGAAATGTGCTTTATTGCCCAGCGCATTTCCTGGGGGCTTATCTGACACGTGTAAAGGGACCAAACGCTGGATTTGAACCAGCTTTGATGCAAAGGGGACAAGCCACACTTTTGAAGATGTATCATTTGGAACGTTATGATGCAATGCAGCAGCTGGATTTAGTTTTTAGAGGACCTGCTCCCTCTCAGAAGTGTTTCTTTATTTTAAAAGCCTCTATTCTGATTATCTCAATATTGTTTCTTTGGTTTCTCTCTGCCCATACAGACCAGTCAGGCTTATCGCCAGAGGGTCCCAGTGGACTGCAGCTCTGTGTCTCAGGATCAATCAATTATAATGTGTATCTATGTGCACGCATTTTGAGGTGTTTGTGTGTGTCAGAGAGTGTGTGCGCTTGTCTGAGTGAGACAGGCCGAGAGATAGAGAGTTATATAAAAGGCACAGGAGGCAGAGAAGAGCTATTTAATGGCGACTTGGCCTTTTATCCAACATCATCCTCACTGGATTGGCGGCTTATAAGCCTGGATGGACATGTGTGTCAGATGTGTGTCTGTGTGTTGTGCACATGATTGACGGATGGTCCGATCGCAATTAAAGGAAATTGATAAGGTTTAAGGGCCCCAGTGTTCTGCTGACAGAAATGGAATGCAATAAGTCTCTTCCATTGTACACATAGAGACACAAAGACTGACACATAGTCCAAGAGCCCCCCCCCCCACATCCTTTCTTTATCATTGGCTGTTTTTCTCAATCTATGCTGGGTGTCTGAGCACATTTTCTGGGAGTCACTTCCACAGTCTTTTTTTCCTTTTGCTGGCTAAGACCCTTTTACCTAAATTACTGCGAAATGAGAGGCTGAGACAGAAAAAGAGAGAGCGCAATGAGACTGTGAGACAGCAGAAAACGTAATGTAGAACAGATGAAGAGGAGAGAGTGGGAGAAAAACAGCACATAGAGACACAGAGAGAGAGAGACAGGGTGAGAGAATTCCCACTTTGCGTGTCTGGTTTCATAACTGTTTCCATTTATGGAGATGTGTCACTGTTTTGTGTGTGTGTGTGTGTGTGTGTGTGTGTGTGTGTGTGTGTGTGTGTGTGTGTGTGTGTGTGTGTGTGTGTGTGTGTGTGTGTGTGTCTGTGTGTCTGTGTGTGTGTGTGCAAATGCATCTTTTAGTAATCGCATAAATGGATGCAAATTGTGCTTCTTTGCATATGCCCAGAACATGTGCACGAATATGAGCTCCAATACACTCGGATGGAACATTTCCAAATATTCACTACCTGAGTTTAGGATAATCTGAGCTCATACTAATCACTGATAAGCACCCACTTATCCATGAATGAATTAGTCATGAAAATATTTGAGAATTAGTGCTAGTTTTTGAGCTGAGTGGTGAGTCATATGGTTAATATATCATTTGCTATCCAGACTGTGAGGTGGCATGCGATTGATGTTCCTGCTGATTTATATGAGTCATATTTAAACTGCCTGGTGACTAAAAGGCAGCGGTAGAAGAAGTACTTAGAAATTTACAAATACTCAATTGTAGAAACACTTTGTTACAAGTAGAAGTATTGCATTCAAGATAAAAGGACACACATATTGTTACGATCTGTCTGTGTTGTGTTTTTGTCATGTCTGGTTCTGTCTCTGGTTTCCTGTCTCTGTGTTTCCCCTTCATGTTATTCCACGGTCTGTGTTCCTTGTGCTGCTCGTTTGGTTTGGATATTTTGGATACTGCCTTTTTTGCCACAGCTTTTATTATTTAATAAAGCTCGCTTTTCGTTAAATTCTTCATTTGAGTCCTACCTGCTTCACCCATTCGTAACACATATTGACATCAAAATGTAAAGATAGTGTGTAAAAGGTTATCATATAAATAAAACCACTGTATTATATAATTGTTGATGCATTCATGTGTTCATCACAGCTGGTAAATGGGCAACTCATTTTAATGACTTAAAGAGGACACAGTATGCTCATTTTCAGGATCATATTAGTAGTGTCTCTACTGGGACATGTCTCCATGCTTTATTTGTCTCATTCTGCCTGTGCTGCAGCACCTCTTTTCACCCTCTGTCTGAAACCAGAGCCCAGTCTGCTCTGATTGGTTCTCCTGCTAGCTCTGTTGTGATTGTTCAACCGCTTAGCGAGTCCCGCCCCATAGACTATCTGTTTTGGAGTGCTAGCCAATATAAGTGTTACATAGTGATGTAATTATGTTACAGAAGTAAACAAAGGAGTCCAAGGGAGGCTTTTCAGGCAGGGGGGAGAAACTCAGATTGTCCTTTGAGATCATCATGTTTATAAAAGTAGGGAGTGACAAGGATTAGCAAAGACACCCCTGCATATTTGCTGTTGTTGCACCATTATTCGAACACTTTTTGACTCATCTCATAGTAACAAAACACCGTTTGTACTAATTGAGCTGCAATGTGACAAGGAGGCTGACGTAAAGCCAAACCATATGTTGGCTAATTTGGCTTCTAGGGATACAACAAAAACATTAGCCAAAGGGGATTGAGACTGAGAGCTCAATTACATTAGGGGTGCCAACATTCAGTTCTAACAAAAGGCAAGGTCTACTGTAATGAGGAGACACACTTGAAATGAGGATGCAATTTGCCTGACATTCTTGGTTCTACGTCATTTGCATCATCTTTCTGGAGCTGTGATGAAACATTTAGTATACTCCTGTGTTGTCCTCATGCTCAGGGGCGGAGCCAGAGCACTTGCAACATCCTAGATGCACATTTGACTAAAATCACAGTCACAAGTCTCTCATCTCTTTCATGGTTGTATGCACAGTTTGGTCATAACTAAGTAGGAATGCCCAAACTGTTAGGGTTCATTAGGATTCAGTATGATAAATGTAGTCTTACTAGGTCCTTACGTGTATCTGCATGCCATCAGCAAAGCTTTGATTCCCAGGAAATATTGTACTGCAGTGTCGCTGTTAGTCCCCTGCTAGGGATAATTCAGCAAAACAGGATCAAATGAGGCTGAGGACTTTCTGTATCAGGCCGCACTCTGCAACCATATCCCATCCACACATCCACTCCAGCAATGCAGGACTGAGATTCCCAAAATGTGCCTCACCCCTTTTTGCTGAATGCATTACAGCATGAGACAAACGCCATATCAAAATGAGTGTAATATGGCTAAATGAATTGGAAGGAAAACAGCTTGTGACATTTTGGACTTTTGTGTGAATTGGGATATGATTCGTGGTAGAGAGTGGTGCCGTGATGATGTATTTTTGGACTAAAAGCAACGGAAGTTGTTGATACTTATCACATTTTGTTCAGTAAGATAACCGCCACATATTTACATCACTTTTATGATCCTTGAAGCGTAAATACAATCGGCAGAAGTACAAATCTAAGTTGAGGCTATAAACCAATTACGTCCCTAGCTAAAGGCAGCTAATGGCGTTTACTAGTGTCATTAAGTCACTTGTTAACAACCACTGTTGTTGTTGTAAATTCAAAGATTCAAAGGTTTATTTTCATATCATACGGTGTAGTATGTAATGAATGAAAAACGTCAGGTTCCTCAACAATGCAATTAAGATATAAAACACATCATTTTTTTTTTTTAAATCGGAAATGCACATGCTGGGTATTTTTCACGTATTTGATGTCATAGTGCAACATGTATGCAGTACATCTCTTAAGTTTAACCTTAAAGGTCCCATGTCATGCTTTTCCGGTTATTACCCGTGCCTTTGTGTGTTATGAAGGTTTTTATGCATGTAAACGGTCTGCAGAGTCAAAAACCCTCAAAGTACACCCTGTAGCGAGTAAAACTCTAACACAGAAAAGACCTGTCTATGCTGCCCCAGAACGCCTCGTTGGACATTTCTCTTTTTCCATTGTTTACTTCCTCGGTTCTGTGACGTGTGAACACCCAAATCAACAACAAATGACCGGATTGGCCCAAATGGACCAATCCGCGGAGCACCTCANGCTGCAAGGCTAGCATAAGCTAAGGTGACCAGATTTTCAAAATTAAAACCGGGGACATTTTGAGTTTTGCGGTCAATATATCATTAACATATCCACTTTTCTTCAAAAGTGGATATGTTAATGATATATTGACCGCAAAACTCAAAATGTCCCCGGTTTTAATTTTGAAAATCTGGTCACCTTAGCTTATGCTAGCCTTGCAGCATTGAAGCATTGATGCTATGAAGATGGACGCTCATGTCGAAGTTACCACACAGCGAGCTGATTTATAAACTGCCGTAGCCATTTGCCCACGTGTATGGGCAACGAATACACAAAGCCGTTAATTGTTTTTCCTATTTAATCATTTTTTAACCATTTTGGAAATCACAAGGCATTGAATTTACCGTGGGAACAATATGAAAATACAGTTTTAAAAGCAACATTTTCCAAGGTGAGTCTCTGTCATGTTAGCCTTTACACAGGGCTATGTTAACATACGGCTTGTATGTTTTATATTAGCAACGCTGTGTTTTATATTTACAGTTTTAATGGCGTCACAAAACTGGTTACTGAATGTCGACAACACGGCTGTTATTCCATCTGTCTCTAGTAACGTTACTACTACTGTGTCAGACTGACTGAGTACAAACTATTGAACCAAAAATATAACCTCAACAGTCATTTTTAAATGAATGAATGTCATTACTGGACTAAGTTATGATCGCCTCCTGTTGGTTTATCTTCGCTGCTTTATTTGTTCTACGCATAACGGACCAGGTGTATTATTAAGCTAACCATGCCATATAAACATTAGGAATATCCTTTTTTATATCAGAAACAGGTTTATTATGAAGTAGGTTTACACATACGTGGAATTTGCCTTGGTGTATATGGTGCTTACATAAACACAGTTAAAGAAGATACATTGTAATAAAAACGACAAAAAAAAGAAAAGAAACTATTGTAAAACATATGTTGCACTTTTTTACTCCAACTCATTTATTTGACAAATGTAGTTACTTTGCAGATTTACGTTCTTATATAATACATGAATCAATACACATAAGCCACCCAGTAGTGAATAAAGCAATTAAAATACCCCACCTTTACTAAGTGCAACATGATTCAAGTGATGAACACATAAATGCACCATTCATTTTAATCAAATAATAAGAACATATCTGGGGCTTAACATGGCCATTCTGCATTTTGATTACTTTTAAGTACAATTTTGAATTTAACACTGTAATATTCCTACTTTTAATAGAGTAAATAATCTGAGTACTTCCTCTATCTCTGGTTGTGTATTTGCTGCTTATTACGTTTCCTATTACAGTGCAGGCATACTACTATTGAGTGAGACAATGAATTAACTTCATTTAACACCACGACTATACATATCACTCAGCAGGGAATATATATTTAGCACTTTATTAGTAAGGCCTCATTAGTTCTGCTCCGCTGCCTTAAACATTGTTGCTTTCTAGATTTGAGGATAATGATTTACTGGCCTGCAGGCTTTGAAAACCATATCCTTAGATTAGATAGATTTTGCACTTTATTTGTGAAGACTTGCAAAAGCCTCATGGCCCATGCCATCTCATGAACACATCGTCTTTTTGACTCAGCCTGGTTTATTGTAAGGAGCTCTAATCTCCTGTGACTCAGTATTAATCAGGAGCCTTCTAGAATTTGATTTGACACTTTTTTAATGTGTTCAAGAGAGAAAACTGCAGTCAAGAGATTTTGAAAAGGTCTCATGGATTTGCTATATAGATTTTGTTGAATGTCGACTTTTTGTTAAACGTCATACTTAAAGGAAAAAAAACGGATTTAGATTGACCAGATTTACCAAATTGATAATGTTTGTTTTGGGTGTGATTCCTAAATTATATAATCTTTGCCTGGGGGAGCGAGTTCAGCTTGAACCTGCCTGACAGCTCACAATCAGCCTCTTGTGGGTGTGTTTGTGTGTAAACATAGAAAATAATAGTGTGTATAAATGATTCCAGCGGCCTGCGTGTTGTTGTCCTCCATTTTAACAATGTTGTTTACCATAGATGAATACACCATGTAAGAGAAAATGCTACTACTGAAAGGAAGGAAGGAAGTGTGCGTGTGCGCGCGTGTTACTCAATTACTATAAGTGAGAGCTTCTTGGAAAATGTAAATTGGAGTGGCTTGAGTAAGATAAAGTGTACAGTAAGTAGTTGGCTGTCTGGAAATGAATCAGGGTTATCCCTAAATAAATGGGTCCAACAGCATTTGGCTGCTGTTCATCCTACACATTCTCATTTAAATGTCTTCGTGGGCACCATCAAAATGAACAACAAGTGTCGGCAAAGAAGAGGTATTATTACACATACTGAATAGGCTCACAAACAGTGAAGTGTATGTGTACCATGTGTAACGAGCTGCTGGAAGTAGATAGATCTAAAGAGTGAAATGCCTTTGTTTACAAAAGCAAATGGGTTTGAAAATTCCACCTCAGTGTTCCTTCAGAATTGTTCTCACGTTTGTTCATTTTTTTCCTCAATGAAGAAGGAGGTGTCTTACACATGAAACAATGAAACCGCTTAGCCTGTCTGCCCTGTGCATTTTGTTGCTGAACGACGTAAAAGAGAAAAGGACTGGAATGTTAAAGTCCTCTTCCTCTGTTTTGCTAAGTGTTGCTTCTCTTGTTTCAGCTGCTTCACATTCATCTGTTGTGTGAGGAGAGTTACCCACAGGCACCAAATATCTGTACACTTCTGACAATCGTATCCAAAGAGTTATCTGTGTGCAGATCAATTACTTAGACTCAAGCTTTTTTTGTATTTACTTTCTTTATTTTGGTCCTTGTGATTCTAAAAAAACCAAAGCTGTCCTCTGGGGATCAATAAAGTCTTATCTTATCTTTCGCAGCTTCACAAACAGTTTAAAAAAGAGACTGACATGTGTGTTTCAAAGGAATGGACCCTTCTGCTCATACACATATGTTAAGCAGCTTATATCAGGCTATTAATAAGATTAAATTAGCTGACATTCCTATTGACACAGTGGACCTTTGAAAAGTCTGAGGCCTGAACTTACCCTTGGACATTTCTCCTGTTGACTTCAGTGCACCCTTGTATCAAACACACAGAAAGCAAACCCCCTGCCGGTTGTGTGACTGGTTTTGCTCACTTATGCAGAGTGTTTTTGTCTACATCACAGCCTCGATTTAGCCATACAATGAAAGCTAGGGGTGCTTTAATGCAGCAGGTGGTCAATTCAAATTGTTTTCTAGACAAGCAGATAGTGTAACTTGCACCATTGGAGTCTGATCCCCTCCCATACTGTCCATTGTTTGATCCAATTAACGGTGTTGTATGACCTAAAGATCATTTTGTATATGATTTGCTGGCTCTCATTAGTTCTGCTCCGCTGCCTTACACATTGTTGCTTTCTAGATTTGAAGATAATGATTTACTGGCCTGCAAACTTTGAAAACCATATCCTTTCTTGTGAGATAAAGGCAGGCTGTGCAACCAACCTTTTTATATTCACTTCACTATCAGAAGCATTGTGCCCAAGCCCTGTGATTCATGGAAAATGAAGGATGTGTGATGGATGTAGACTCAACTGCCTCTGGTCATTGCAGAGCTGTTTTTGTGTCTGGTTACCGACGCCTGTGTCACGCCTGCTTTTGTCCGTGGGCAAAAGGAGTTTTGCAATGCTTAGGGAAGTAGACAGCACTGACAACACTTGGAAACATAAACATTGGTGCAAAAAAAAACGGTGTTGTCAGTAGGATTAATAAGTGTTAGTCAGGCGGGCCACATCCTCCTCCCACATAATCATTTCTTTGTATTGAATTTGTGTAAGACTTATTGCGCTGTATTTTGGGAGCTAGTGCAGGTTCTGAAAGTAGGATGATTCTAAGTCTAGTGTGTGTCTAGTATGATCCTCCTGAACTAGATTAGCCAGTGGGTAAGTCAGTACCTGGAGTGTGTACATAATGGGTGATGCCCAGATTGTCGACTAATGTACATTAAACAGGAAACCAATTAGTTCCCAGCGTCAGGGTTCTGATTCCAAGGCTCAATGGAAATGTATTGCACTTAGTCAGGTGGTCTTTTACTTGGTGTTCGACTGCTTCTCCAAGTGGCTTTCTGACATTAAACTACACGTTGTAAGAGATTAAGGTAACTCTAATAAGTAGAAGTTATGCAACATACTGTACTTCCAGAATTCCTAGACACACACTCTAGTTTCTTAGAAAACAGATTTTGACAGCCCCTTGCAAGCTCCTTGCAGCCTCTTGCTAGAATGTAAATGGGTCCTTGCATCTCTAAGTTGTGAAACCCCGGCAGAAGGGCGTCCAGAAAACCAACTACTGGCTTTGTTACTCATACAAATGTGTCTGACCTTTTTTTTCTCCTGTTGCCCTTTAAGTTTTGCCAGAACTTCCTACATCAGAATGAAGGAACGGACAGATGCTCCTCAGGACCGGTGAGTTTGATGCAAGTGAGACTCTCACTTCCCCCGGTTTGCTCTCGACCAGAGTTCCTCACTGTTGTTTTGCTCTCGACCGCAGTTTCTGTGTCAAGCAAGGATGTAACATTTCAATACTTAAAATAATTATACTTCAAATAATCCCATCTCAAATATTTGTGCTATGACATATTGTACTCATTTTGACATGGATATTACAGAAATCCTCTAAGTACCGCTTGTTAGAAAATAGATTTTTCCATGAAGACAATAGCTAGAGTTTTATCAAGAAGTGGAGATGGCTCTTTAATACAACCCCAACGGATGTACAGTAGGAGGGTAAAGAGTGAAGTTTATATGGGGTCAAATTTAGAGTGGTGCTGGTTTACAAGCTGCATTGTTTCACATGCATGTGAATCTCTCCTGCATATAAAAGCACTTGAAATCCAGCTTTGGAAAAGTACCGTAAATAAAGCTTATCAGAATGTTCATTCAAGTGGTGTCAATGGATTAAAACATTTCATTATTGATTATGATAATCACAAGTTTAAATATTAGTATTGAATTGTATTTTGGTGGGAAGTGAGGCAAAAACGTGTGAGATGTTGTAGTAAAGAAATTAATGACAATATAGAAAGAGAAATCACAGGGTTTTTGAATTCACTATTACATGATTTCTGAATTATTGGCTTAGAGTGCGCCAATTTTCCTACACTAAGCTTAAGCATTCCCCTCTGTATAATGCGCACTACACAGCCAGGCATATTCTCTCTACCGCTATCATGCTGCGAACACTTACTGTTCCCACTCCTCTACAACTTCAATAAAAATGGCGAGTGCATGTTTCAGCAAAATGCCTTTCTCCTCCGTTTCTACCACACTGAAAGCGAACGAGTGCGGAACCTTTTTGTCATGGTTAAGCTGTGGTGTCACACAGAGTGGGTGATGATCTCCTGTCAAATCAATACAGGAAGCTTGTACCAGCTCCAATCTGCGCTGGATTTGTAGGAGGTAATTGGGGTCAAACTTTGTAATATGATACATTTCCAATATTTTTTTAACGCTTTAATGTTTCCAGAATAATCAATCAATCAATCAATCAATGTTTATTTATATAGCCCAATATCACAAATGTTACATTTGTCGCGAGCCTTAACGCTTCAACATTGACAGCCCTGGTTGATACATTACATTTCCAGTACTGCTACATTCTGTATTGTAAACCATTTTCAATGTATTGATCTTTACTTCCCATGTACAGGGGCTGCCTGGTGGGGATCTGTTTCTTCATTCTGGGCCTGGGAACACTGCTACCATGGAACTTCTTCATGACTGCCTCATTGGTAAAAACATGGCAATGACTTAATCCCTCAAATACAGTGGAACTGACCCATTATCTGCGCCTTTCCATGTTTTAGAACATGAACAGAAACAGACTCAGTCAAAAACATGGTAGTTTCTCATCATTTCCCATTCAGATGGAACATGTTGTGGTTCCTCACTTGAACCTCTTAAAGAATCACATGCTAAATGGATGACTACGGCTTATGGATACTAATCTCTTTCAAGAAAATATCTAGATTGTGTAGGGTGTTAAAGGGTAATGACCCATAGTGACCTATACATCCAGACACCATCATATGACTCTAGGTAACTATGTGGCTTACTTCAGTGGAACATGTGATCCACATGGGAGAGTTTTCACCAACAACTCTTGAGGGAAATATCTGCCTTTTCTTTAAATGCCTTTTCTTTAAATGCCTTTTCTTTAAATGCCTTTTCTTTAAAAGCCCAAAAGCTGAATGCGAACATCCGTTTACTGTTTGGCACTGGATACGAAGTTTACAATACGTTTATTTGAACTTAACAAATGGAAATGTCTTTGTGCTGTGTCTATAAACAGGATTGTTTTCAATGATAAGAATGAACTCAAATGGTAAATTCCCAAACGATAAAAACAAAACGGTAAGCTGAAAGACACTAAAATGCTCCGTGAAGCTGAAACGGGCTAAAGACTTAAGTGAAACGTATTTCATATTGCACAGTCATCATTGTCATGTTTGATGTAAAGGCAAATTAGTACAGCTTTCAAATAGGCAACAATTGAACTATTCCTGCACTTAAAAAGCAGAGAGATCAAACTGGTTTTATCGGAAGTAAATACAGGTTCATTGCCAACTAGGTTTTCACTTACTTATAAACATTGTAAGAGAAAAAAGTGCAATAATATTGCATGAAATGTATATAGCAAAAGTCAACATGCATAAATATACAATAGAAAAGTTACAATAAGATAAGGACAAAATACTTTAAAAGGTATGTGCAATATATCTGTTGTGGTCCAAAAGATGTAAGTTAATGTGACAGACGGGAAGGCAAGAGCATTCTGGGAGTTGCTTGAGTGAATAAACTCAATTGGATTACAATTTAAAAAAACTTGACTGAACTTGTACATTTAAAACAGAATAGAATGTTAAGGTGATGCCGACAACAGTAACTCATTTCCCATGGTAGGTTGATATAGTATACTGTATTTGTATGCTGGTTTATTTGACAGTAATAATCCGTAATAATCCAACTTCTCGTTTCCTCTGGGCTGCAGTATTTCCAGGCTCGCCTCAACACGACAGAATGGAGCAACAGCACCACGGTTGTCCGCAAAGAGTACTACTTCAACAACTGGATGACCCTGCTGTCCCAGCTGCCCCTGCTGCTGTTCACCCTGCTCAACTCCTTCCTGTACCATAGGTCAGTGACACGGTTAGAAGGTCATTCAGAGTCAGGGGATGTTGATATCGGTACTCGCCAAAAGCTTTATAGGACATAAAGAAGTTTTCCTATACACAGAAGTATTTAAATCTTCCGTTTATGTTCAATAAAAGTAATGAATTGTTGTGAATCCTAGACTTTAGGTATTTGCCTTAACAAAGTCGACATATAATGCGTTTCCGTGCCAAAATATTCGTCTGTGGTGTATATAGGACTGGGCAATATGAGACTTGATATCTTGTTAGATCTGAGATATTGTAATATCTTAAGTGTTGTCTTTCCCTGGTATTAAAGGCTGCGTTACAGCAAAGTGATGTCATTTAAAATTGTCGACATAACCCAGTCATTAAATCTCCATTACTCATGATTATTGATCAAATACATCATTGTGTAAATAGTCTACTAAAGCTCCAATGGTGATCTCTACAAAATAAATAATATGTGAAATAAATCAAGTTTATATCTTATCCATTTTGATGTTTGATGTTTGTTTGAATGAAATATTTCTTGTTTCAGGATATCAGAGGCAGTGCGCATCGCAGGCAGCCTGGTTTTCATCCTGCTGCTCTTCATCCTCACAGCAGTGATCGTCAAGGTGCCCATGGAGGAAGATTGCTTCTTCTCCGTCACCATGGCTACTATCTGGTTCATCAACTGTAAGTCAGTGTGTGTGTGAGAGTAGAAGCCTGACAGAAAAAGAGGCTGAGAGTGCATGTGTTTTAATTTGATGTGATATGATTTTTTTACAAGTTTTAAAAAAACAACCATAAGTCATAATGGAGAAATGTGAAATGTATGAGAATAGGAGCCCAGACTCTAAACATTAAGTATTTCCGTAAATGTAATGAATCTGTCCGATCTCATGTATTATACAGAAACATTTCAAGCTAAACACCATCCACACACCATCAAACTAGACTTATCAACATTAACTCCTAAATGCTCCCAAGACATTTATTTCATCAGACTAAACACAGACCCGTTACAAGGGAAAATAATGGTATATATATAAATGCATTCCAAAGTAAGATAAACTTGTGTAAATCTTTAGCCATTTATTGTATTCAAACTTACTGATATTTGTGCCTAACAACTGCTGGCTAAAGCACTTTTAAAAATACATTTGTTTATAGTGTTATCAATCTCACACCATACCCAATGACCTCTGCACACCACACTAAAGCTTGTACATTTAAGTTTGCATTTTTTACATTAGAAATGTCCTAGTCTTATATGCGACAGGTCCCACAGTCTGTCATTGAGCACATAAACTACATTCTACCTTGAACCGGAGTGTTCTATGTCCCACCTTCAGGCGGCGTGACATCACTATGTACCACTCATGCTTCAATTTGCTTAGGCTTCAACACATTGTTTGTTATTGGCTAAGGGGTGGGACATCTCTAAGCAGTTGACCAATCAAATATAAATCCTCTTCTGCTGCTGGCACTGGAGCCTTTGAGCTCTTCCTTGGCCAGGTGCACCTCGTAGAGCAGCTCGTCACAATGCAGCACACCTGGGCGGAGCTACTGGAGGGGGAATAGGCACAGGGAACACATACAGCCGTAACCATATACAGTCTATGGCCGTTACACACGTAAAAGACCATGATAAATGATGCTTTTTCTCCGCAGCCTTCGGGGCCGTGCTGCAGGGCAGTTGTTTCGGCCTGGTGGGTCTCCTGCCTCAGAAGTACAGCACGGTGTTCATGAGTGGCCAGGGCCTCGCCGGGACCTTCGCTGCCATCGCTATGCTGCTCGCCATCGCCAGTGAGACACACACACACACACACACACACACACACACACACACACACACACACACACACACACG